TAAGATAGTGTACTAAGTGACAGTGAAGAATTCTCAAATAACCAGATTTAAGAGTGTTAATCATATTTCCCCCTAAGCGGTCCTTTTCACCCAGGCTGTAGAACCTCTGCAATCTCCATGTTCCTTTACACAAATGTAGGTAAAGCACTGGCTTCAGCCTGTCCTGACAAATGTTTTCATACAAGCTGCATCTCAAGATAACCTTAATTCTAGCCCCAAACTTGGGGTTTTGTTCATTTTAAGAATATATGTGTGTGAGGAATTCTGCTGGACATTTGTCCTTGGCATTTCCCACTTCATCAGCATTTAGATATACATCCTAATACCTACTTTTATCCTATATTTCATACTGTTTGTTGCTGTTAAGAAATGTTATCCTTGGTACCAGATGGTAATCCATATGCTCTGTGCTGATAGATCTTGCTGTTATTTGATGATAGCTACTGACCTAGGTAGCTTTGAAAAGGAATTTTAAAAAACACACAAAAGAAAAGAGGTCTGTTGAGTTAGCCTCAATGGTAAAGTGGTATTTGCCTCACTAATAAAAATCTGGAATGTTAGTGAATACCAAGGAGCAAGAATGGGGGAGCATCCAAAGACTGTGTGCATTTCAGAGGTGTTTGATTGGCCAATAGGAAGTAAGTTCTTGCTAGATTTTCAGTCTAAGACTCTTCTGATGGTTTTATCTGTTGATGAGTGGTATGATCTCCACAGTTTATTCCCTGAAGATTTTAAAACACTACACTAAGCTAGGAACTGTAGAGGAAATGACCTGCATACAAATTTGAAATAAACATAATTTTATGGGACAAGGATGTAAAGTGATGGGAGCTTTATCAGATAGATGGGTGGGGGTTTTCTCATTTTCCCCCAGGCTTAGTTGGAATGTTCTGGAAGCTCTGTGTATGTGTGCTTGTTTACATGCATGTGTGTGTGCATGTTTTGACTATGTTAAATCTATTGCGGGGGTTGCATTACAATTTTATAACGCTTCTCTCAAAATGGCAGAAAACAATATTTCAGCAGTTGCAAAAACTATCCTTTTCAGCAATGATATTCAGAAGGGTTTAAGAAAGTAGCAGGTTGCTACTCTGGCTCGAAAGGTGGACCAGTCCTGGGAACCGTCCAGACAAATGGGCTTTTAGGCAGGAGGCTCAGCTAACCTATTTTGAGTTTCAGGACTGGCTGAGAAAAATTAGGGCTGCCAGATCTGGGCTACAAATCTGCAGAGGACCTCGAAGTGGCAACAAAGAGTACAGATAACTGTATATCTAGATTTTTCACCTTTTCAGTTTTAACTTTGTTATAGTTGTGTTGTAGTTATATTCCTTTAAGTGTGTTGTGTTATGTTAAACACCTTCCTAGTCTCTGAAGATACTGGTGTGCTATTCTTGGTGGCAGACCTGTTCTGTTATATCTAAAATGTAGAAGCATTTTGAGGTATTTGTTATATATATGTGATATATGCAAGCTTTGAAAAAAATGTTTTTGGCCTCCATATTCCAAAATGTTTTCTGCCTTTCACAGTATTTCTTACAGTAATTGTTAAAGGTTTTATATACGTGCTCAGACATATCTAATGAAAAGGGAACCAAACAAACTGGCCTCATAACTCAGTTTGATTTGGAGGGGGCAGAGCACCAGTTGGGGAAGAAAAGAATTCTAACCTCTAGCAAACCTGGTAGAGTTTCACGAGAAAGTAAGCAGCTTATTATATCCGTACATGTAAACGCCAAGTGACTGTTTTTATGTCCGGTTAGCTTGAAGTCATTCAACAAAAATCAGTCTTGGTTGTTTGATGTATTATTCCTAGGCCCACAGTTCATTACTTTGTCAGGAATGCAGACATAGATAAGGATGGCTGCATGGTAGAGTTTGAAATCAATGGTTCTTTCATCTTCCTGAACGAGGAGCATAACATTAAACTGCTGCCTGTTATGTCTAACCTGTACAATTACCGTGCAGGATACTTTGCTAGGTAGATGCTAGACTGATCAGAGCGGGACCAAAAAATCCAACCCCCTTTGCAGCATTATTATTATTGTTGTTATTGTTTTCTGGAAGATTTTCTGTAAAATTAAAAGGCACCCTTTTTCCTTGACAATTTTTCAAGTGTTGTACGCACAAATGTTCTCTCACATTGTCTCTCAGTTGATCAGAATACATTCTCAGTTAAGTCAGTTAAGATTAGCTAGTTCTTGTAGTGAATTTTACTCTTTCAATATGTGGTCCTGGATAAATTAGGATTACCCACATATCTCAGCCAGAGAAGAGAAAGTAGCAGTAATTGGAGGGAAAATGAATCTTTCCTATTATTCCTAGCTTCAACTTCTCAGTTGGGCATAGGACACACTGAAACCCTGACTTGTAGTCACCTACCGTTTTTTTTTCTTAAAATGTTACTAGTCACACATTCCAGAAAAATGAAGTTGGTGCTGGTAGCAAAAGGCCAGAGCTCTGCTTTGGAGTAATTCCAATGGCTGGTAGAAAATGGGAGAGTCTATACTGAACCCCTGCAGATCATGTAGCTGACTCCTGCCTCACCCCCGTGTCTAATCCATCAACATATAGGAGAGAGCATTAAATGAAATACTAAAAATAGCAACACTAAAAGCCAATAAATTTAAAATCAGTAGTCCTTAAGAACCCATGAAGATAACAGCAGCTTGTTTACTGTTTAAATAGTGTTAAAGTCTGTTGAAATAAAAAGGTTGAAAGAAGTGATCTTCCCCATGGTGGTCTTCCACAATTTAAGTCCTAACTCTCCTGAAATCTTCTGGAATATCGTCACTTTCTCATCCATTTCAGTTTTTCCTTGTTTGACTGTTTTTGTTCTGTTACTTTTTGTTACCTAGAGTGAGCAGCAAACCAATTCCATAGATATTTATCCTGCCAAGGCAAGATAATCACCCATTTGTCTGGCCCTGGAAGAAAGGCTGCGGCTTCACAGCTGAGTAGCCCTTCCTTCACAATAATGGAAAAACAGCAGTTTTCTGGCATCAACATTACTAATTTGTACAATTTGCATCCTGCTTATTTATGCTAGCAGGTTACAAGGGTGTGAATGAATGGGACCTGTCGATGCCATTAGTGGTAAAAACAGTGGAAGGGGGAGGGGGTTTGAAAACAATTAAAATAAATTGACTTGTGCTAGCAAAATCAATCATTGCCCTTATAGAATATCAGTCGTGGTAGCCTGTCTGGCTCGTGTCCTGAATATGTATGCTCCTTGGATTTTTACTGACATTTTTGCATAAAGTGACCCCTTTGGAACTGCACTGAACCTGCAGAGTTTGTAGCAGCAGGCAGACTGATTTCTTTGTTTTTTTTGCAGCAAAAAAGTCAGACTCTGATATTCAAGGGCTGCCCTCTCAGTGAACAAAAGAGAGCACTGTTAGAGGTATCTCTAAGGGTTATTTAGAGCAGTGTTTCTTAATCTCAGAGCCTTTAAGATGTGTGGACTTCAACTCTCAGAATTCCCCAGCCAGCCATTCTGGGAGTTGAAGTCCACACATCTTAAAGCTGCCATGGTTGAGAAACACTGTTCTAGAGCAAGAAGACACAGCAGAGCCCTCTCTTTTTCCTATTTGTGATTCTTCAACTTCAATTAACGAGGAAATTATCGTTCTCTCAAATCTCTCATTTAATTCTCTCATGGCAAGGGTAGCAAGTGGCTCTGACAATATGGGATTGGCATACCTGTTCTTCTGTTAATTATATCCATAGTTGTGTTGTGTTAACTGATCTCTTGGCTCCAATAGAAATAGCTATCCATGAGTGTGAACGCTGTGCAGTGTTGGAGTGTGTGGAATAAAGGGTCATATTTGTCTTCCATACCAGATGTATCTATTTGGCCTATCTGACAGCTTGGCATAAAAGTACTGCTTGCTTTGGACCAACACATTTAAAAGCTAACATTTTGGAAATCAAAATATACATTCCATCTCCCAGAATTTTTGTTGATAAAATGACTTTATAATTCAGAATTTGCATGCACTGGACTTTAAGTGCATTGACCTAAACAAATGTTATATCCATATATGGATTCTCTCAGGTATGATCAGTAGCCAGAGTTCTGTTCCATTACAGTGTGAAAATTGTGATTGACTAAAAGTCTTTCCATCATCTTGGTTCCCATGCTTGCAAACTAATGTTTGTTAGATCGGCTTGAGGGCTTCCCGAAGACAGTATACTCTCTCTTCTGCTGTTCTTCCATAGCAACTGTTAATGTAGACAGTTATGTATCTGAACATGGAGGTTTTAGATAATCATTGTGAAGAACAGTCACTGTCAAACCTCTGTTGCTCACTGAATTTCTTTAGTCCCCCTTTAAAGACATTTTGAGCTAGTAGCTATCCCAGTAACTTGTGTAGCACATTCCATCCATCAACGTTGTGTGAAGAAATGGTTCTGTTGGGCATGGAAGAAGAACATAAGACTCAAAACTAGACAGGTTGTGATTGGGGTTACCATCTTCATCTGGCAAGCAACTCTGTTTAAACCCATGTTTAAAATCAGCTCACCTAACAGCTGTTGAGCATGGAGGAGAGGCTGCACAGTGCAATGAGGGAGAAGGCCCACTTCACAGCATAGTCTGACTACCTGTTAGCTGTTAAACCAGCTAATTTTAAACACAGGTTTAGTACTTTTCTGAAATAGCATTAAACTCATGTTTAAAAATAGCCTTAGGACATCCCATGGGTGGTGTGGTACAACAGGAGTTTCAGCTGATAGGCACATGGAGGAGGATTTTTTAGTGTTATGACAGAAAGGCTCCTAATGCATGGCTCAATGAATGGCTCTCCCTCCCACTGCATCATACAACCCTCTGATGCCTATCTACTGGCATGGTGGGGTTGTGTGATGAAATCATCCTCCCACTGTACCATGCAAACTCCCCACTCCCATCCCCATGTGCCTGTCAGAATGGTGACTTGTCGAACTGTCCAGTTGTTGTGAGCCATTGCACTAATCTCTCTTACATGTTACTTCTTCTGCAGGAATTTTTTGAGAATCCTGCCTTTCGCCCAGATGGCATGAAGCTATACCCAACTCTTGTGATCCGTGGCACTGGCCTCTACGAACTCTGGAAAACTGGGAGGTACAAAAGCTATCCTCCAAGCACCCTTGTGGATTTGGTGGCAAGAATTCTTGCCCTTGTGCCTCCCTGGACTCGAGTGTACCGAGTACAAAGGTAATGTTTGCCTTGCCCATGCTAAATCTTAATAAAATGTAGTAATGCAACAGTGGGAGCTGAGATAACAAAACAGCTTGATTTGCTTGTGCAGCATCTATTTCTGAATATATTACCCTCTCAGAATAAATTCTTAATTTAGGTTGCTTCTGGGAATCTGGCCCTTTAACCATCCCTCACTTCCCTGAAAGTAACTGGCTGTGCTGTACTTGTCCTGCCTGTCATCGTCCACTTCAAATTCTCATCACAAATATCAAGCCATTACATGTGATTCAGGATGAATTCACACACCAGGCTAATTTTATGATAATTGTGGTTTGCGCTTGATAGCTCATCTATGCATAACTACTGGAGTCCGTCTCTGATGAGTCACCATAGATTGTGGCCACTTGCATCTCAGACAGATATTTGCAAATGAGCTTTTGAAATGGGGAAACTAAGCTGGGAAGGGTAACCAATGATGATCTGTAGCTATTCAGCAAATGAGGATTGGCCCCTAGGCAATAAGGAATAAGGGGCACACACAACAGACAAGCACATTGGGCAGCAGGGAATAGTATTGTTGCTTACTACTCTGTGGTGAAAGAGAGGATAAGTGAGCACTTTTTCCTGGATTGGCCCAGTAAAAGGAAATGTTCAGTTTCTAGACGAAAGATGAAGAATCTGTGACCTTCCATATCTTGCCGAATTGCAATTCCCTTGTAATTCCGGTGTGATCAGTAATATAAGATGATAGGAATTGCGGTCTCATAGTATTGGGAGGGCCACGCATTATCAATTCTTATACTACTGAACAATCGAATGATTGCCATTCATATGGCAGCCAGTGACCCAGAAATGGGTGTACTACTCACTTTTGTTTTAGCCAAAAGAAGGAATACATTGCTTTTCTTTAGTCAAGATATCAGTAAACACTGATAAACATTTCAGAATATTAAGCCCATGTTTATCACCACTGGGTTTCACCTCATGAGGGAAGGATATCCCATTTGTAATTGTCAACACAGAACGTTTCCAATAACAGCTGGTCTGCTTAAGGGTGGGAGTTAATAATAAGCAGCAATGTAATTATCAGGTAATTTGTCTTTGCCTGTCAGATGGTTGAAACCATTTTTAGGGGACTACCAGGAATGTTTGTTTTAAGATAGCGTCTTCAAAGCTTGGCTTCCATTAAAGGAACCAGTGAGGCTCTAGATCAATCAGTCAGAAGAGCATCCCGTTGTTGGTCTTGTGGAACATCTTTCTTGAACTTGGTGCTTTCTGGTTATGTTATACTATACCTTTTACGACACCATTAGTGGTGATAACTGGGAATGCATGAATAGGGAAACATCAGTAGCAAAGACTCTCTTAGGTTAGGGGGGGGCTTCTATTTTTTTGACATAAAAGCTGCCCTGTACCAGCTAAATACATGTGGTCCACAGTTTAAGAACGAGTTCCGTTCCCAAGGTCTGTTCTTAATTTGTACGTAAGACCGAACAGTATTATTGTATAATACTGTATAAGTTATATTGTGTAATGAACTCAAACCATTGTATTTTTAACTTGAATCATTGTGTATTTAACTCAAATTTTGCTGCAGCAGGCTCTGTTCTTAAACTATGGGTCGTCTGTAACCCAGGCATTCTTAACCCAGGGGTATCTGGGTTTACCTGGATTTCTGGGTTACCTGGGTTTCTTTCTTAAGCAGAGGCAGAAGGAGTACTCCATTCTTAAATGTTCATTTGTAATATTGTCATACCCAATCAGCCTTACCTACCATGTGGTTTCTGACTTGATATCTTGCCTTGTTGAAAACATTATTAGAAGAATCTTTGGGCAGATAGACTTCAGCAAATTGACCTGTGGCATTCCAAGCTATCTTTGCTGATGGAAAATTCAGCAAGGACTTAAGCATTGCCTTTGACATCAGTAGATAGAGAGAATGGAGATTCGTTTTCACACTCTTAAAATTGACCGTATTTTGCATATATGTGTATGCTGATGAGCCTTGAGTCATATCCCCTTCTTATGCAGAAGCTCAAATATGTTTCACAGCAGATGGCTACCCAGTGCCTTTGGGTCCGCCGGTATATTGTGTCACTGTTCCAGAGATGATAGACTTGCTCATTGGATACTGCTATGTAGGCTACATGCTAGGGTGCAAGAATGGTTTTATTGACATCCCTGTGGTGAATCGTGCAACAGCCTGGCCTTCCGCAGTATTTTGGTAATTGGAAAGAAGCACAGCTCTCTGATGGCTGTCCCTGTTCTAACGTGCCTAGATGGAAATTGCATTCTCCTCCAGTGTGTCCTTTAGCTGGAGCAGGGAAGTGCTTATTGACTCTTAACTGCTACCGCCTGAAGACTGTTAATGTCTGTTGACTAGATGAGGTTATATTTACTCCCAGGACCCAGCTGAATAAATTAATGAGTGAGCTAATTATTATTGTGTTCTGGGGAGAGGATAGGCTAGTGGTTGATGTAGGAGAGAGCAGGGGGTGAGTGAATTAAGCCCCAGTGTGCCAGCGGGTGGAGAATCTGTTGTGATAATCTGCCTCACCCTATCACCATCAAGTCTGCCTCTTTTTCCTCTAACATTCCCAACTTTTGTAGAGTCCCCAGATCTTTATTCTTCATTTTCCTTGCAATAAGATAGCAGTTTTCATCCAGGCATACTGGAACTTAGGAGAAAGTTTGAGAAATGCTACTTTTTCCACTTTGCTTCCTCTTACACCTCTTGAACCTACCCTCTCACATGTACCACCTCTTCCCCCAAAAAACTTCTAGCATCTCTCTCTCAGGTAACTTTTTCTGTGAAATGTCTGACCCCATAGTTCTCATCTCCAACCAAAAGAAAGCCAGATAGTCATAGCATTATATCCACAAGACGATGTTTATGTCTCTGGTCCAGGCTAATTTTCCTGGAAAAGTACTTTAAATGAAGTGAGAGGTAATAACTCTCCTATCTCCCACTATAATAACCAGTTCTATTGCGAAAGTGTAATTTCCTTCACTTTTTTCCCCACTAGACTAGCAACTGAATTGGGACATGTGACCCGCTATCAGATTTCACTGAGGGGCCTCCTCTTAGTGACTCTTCTACCATATTCATTTTTTCCTTTTCAGTTTCCTCCCTCTGCTATGCCAGTCACCTTCTACTTGATCAAAGCCTATATTTAGATTTCAGTTCAGCTCTTTATATTATTTATTGCATTTATATCCTGACTTTTCTCTAAAATCTCAAAGCAGAATACCAGCAAGGGAGAGGAATTCTTCCTTCACTTGATCCCCATAGCAATAGCCCTGTGAAGTAAGTTTGACTGAGAACAAATGGCCCTGTGATCTGTTTTGTCAGGCTGAGGATTTGAACCTGGGTCTTGGTCTAAGCTTACCACCTGAATTATTACACAGCAATGGTTCTTTAATTATCTGTGTCTCTAGCACCTGTGGATTTTTTTGCCTCAAAATATAAAAATGGTCTCAAACTTTTTTGTAGTGGGTTAAACAAATTCTTGAATCTCAAGCCTGTGAATGGCTGCTAATAATTGTGACAGTGTGATATTTCTGTGTCCAGAGGCAGTGCCTTTCAGTGTTTCTCAACCTTAGGTTGTGCATCAGTTATGCCCTTTCCTGGATCAGGATGCCCTTTGAACAATCACTCATGCCCTTGTTATCTCCCAGATAGACTACTACAATGCGCTTTACATGGGGCTACCCTTGAAGAGTATCCGGAAGCTACAGCTGGTCCAGAATGCGGCTGGGGAGGCCATTTTTGGGGGCCCCAAAAAGGGCCCTGTTAAACCGGTGCCCCCCCAGCTGCGGTGGGGTCGCGCTTGC